GACATCTCTGCATAAAATTTTATTTTAAACAATTTCAAAACACAATAAGACAAAAACGTATTTTCTAGATAAATTGATATGTGCTTCTCTTTTTTGTCTCACTTTAACAATCCAAGCATATCCAGAGAACAAAATTAAAACGAACACATGTTCCACTCACTGTATTATGCTTTGAGAATTAAATAATTTATTAGGGTATAGACTGATAACTTTAGAGATATAATAGGGCCAACTGAAAAATGAAGTATATTGAGATTTATCTCTGGAAGGGAAATGTGAAATCAGTGTACAAATTTAAGAAAAAAAGATAAATAAAATCCTTCTGAAATTAATAAATTGTTCTGGTCCTGGTTTGACATCCAAGGGTTACCTCTTTTCAAATGCTTTGAATGGCCCCATGTAAATTGTCCATGTGTTGCTGTTAGTCTATGGATATTTTCAAGAACATTTTGACATGAGGTGCAAAATGAATTTGGCTTTAGTTAAACCAGTTTATAGTGTCAAGGGACATTATTAATACTTTTTCTAATTTCTGCTCTGTATTAAGTATTGATAGAGGAAAAGAGAAAAACCCCAAAGACACTGTAGTGCAAATGACATTACAGAAGGCCCAGACAAACTTGGACCCTTCCAGTGTTTTGGACTTCAACTCCCACAATTCCTAAGTGGCTGAGGGGGAAAAGGAAAGGGCCTGAGGCTGTTAGGAATTGTGAGAGTTGAAGTCCAAAACACTTGGAGGGCCCAAGTTTGCCCATGCCTGCTTTAGAGCTATAAACCTCTGTAGTTTAATACAAAATCTATGTTAATAACTGATGTAAGTAATGAGTGTGTCAAAAAGAACCATGTTGAGGTTTGAGATATTTATATGGCACGGTTGATACTAAGTCATCTGCATAGTAAACTGGGAAATCTTGGGATTAGTCCAAAAGGAAAATCGAAACAGTGGCACTGCTTCCCATAACATAAGGTGTAAGGAAAGCACACTACAAATGTTCAGTGACATATTGGTGTCCATTTTTGTCCTCCAGGAGTCATCATCTGTGGCAAATGCAGAGACTTTGCCTAGTGGGTGCCCGAATCAGAATCGCATGATTGAATACTTGGCAGACAAAGAAGCGAATCACAACCATTCAGGGTTTCCTCCTTTGAGTACATGGTGGGGGCTAAAATGCGCACATACTGAACAAGAGCCAGCATCCAGAAGAATGGGTGAAATGAGCTAGAGATCAATATAAGAGGATGGCTCTGCTATTACATGTGTGTGCGGGGTCCACTTCAAGAAAAAGAAGGGGCTTGGCTGTAAATCGCTTAGATGTAAAAATTATACTGTGTCCAATTGAGTTGCTGTGAGTTTTCCAGGCTGTGTTGCCATGTTCCAGAAGAATTCTCTCTTAACCTTTCACTCACATTTATGACAGGCATGCTCAGAGGTTGTGAGGTTTGTTGGAAACTAGGCAAGTGAGGTTTATATATCTATGGAAGGTCCAGGGTGGGAGAAAGAACTCTTGCCTGCTTGAAGCAAGTGTGAATGCTGCAATTGATCACCTTGATTAGCATTGAATAGCCTTGCAGCTTCAAAGCCTGGCTGCTTCCTGTTTGGGGGAATCCTTTGTTGGGAGGTGATTAGCTGGCCCTGATTGTTCCTTGTCTGGAATCCCCATTTTTTAGTGTTGTTCTTTATTTACTATCCTGATTTTAGAGTTTTTTTAAAATACTGGTAGCTAGATTTTGTTCATTTTCATGGTTTCCTCCTTTTGCATTTTCTCTCTCGCTGGCAAACACAAGGAGAAAGGCATCCTATGCCTTTTATAAAAAAAACTTTTTTGGCAATGAAAACTCATTCACACCATTCCACTGCTGCTATGGTACATGAGAAGAACCAGCTTGATAGTCATTTTAATGTATTTAATTGCCCTTTCTAGGCTTTATGTTTAAATGGTTAGTTTATGTGAATTTATGTTATTAGTATAATTAGGATTATTTGTATTTGGTCCTCATCTTGGTGTTCATTTCTCTTTTGTCACAAGTTTATGGTTATTGTTTTTGTGTTATCCTGTTTATTTAAAGATTGTTTGTATTTGAGTTTGGGCACTGAATGTTGGCCTTTTTTGTGTGTATGCTGCCCTGAGTCCCCTTGGGGAGAGAGGGCAGTCTATAAATCATAGAATCATTGAGTTGGAAGAGATTGTGTGGGCCATCCAGTCCAACCCTCTGCCAAGAAGCAGGAAAATCGCATTCAAAGCACCTTGACAGATGGCCATCCAGTCTCTGCTTAAAAGCCTCCAAAGAAGGAGCCTCCACCACACTTCGGGGCAGAGAGTTCCACTGTTGAACAGCTCTCACAGTCAGGAAGTTCTTCCTAATGTTCAGGTGGAATCTCCTTTCCTGTCATTTGAAGCCACTGTTCCATTGTGTCCTAGTCTCCAGGGCAGCAGAAAACAAGCTTGCTCCCTCCTCCCTATGACTTCCCCTCACGTATTTATACAGGGCCATCATGTCTCCTCTCAGCCTCCTCTTCTGGAGGCTAAACATGCCCAGCTCTTTAAGCCACTCCTCGCAGAGCTTGTTCTCCAGATCCTTGATCATTTTTGTCACCCTCGTCTGGACACATTCCAGCTTGTCAACATCTCCCTTCAATCGCGGTGCCCAGAATTGGACAGCGTATTCCAGGTGTGGTTTGACCAAGGCTGAATAGAGGAGAAGCATGACTTCCCTGGATGTAGGCACTATACACTATAGTTTTATTATTTATTAATTTTATTATTATTTTCGCGGAACTGGCTTTTAAAAACTGCACCTTCCCAAATGCAGTGTCTTCCCAAATGTGCCTGTTTTCTCCGTGTTCCAAACAAGATGCCCAAAGAGCTTGCCTTTGAGGATGCATGAGGGCTGCTCGCCTAGAAAAGAAAGCAGTGCCGATGCCGCTTTCCTTCCCCGCTCGCCCTCCTTGGTTTGGGCGTCCTTCTTCCCCTCAACAAGCCGTGTGTCCAACGGAGAAGCGAGGCGAAGGCGGGCACCCAGCTCGGCCCCCGCCCCAATCCCACCTGCTGCCTGGGCCAGGCTGTGCCTTCCAAGTGCCCTTGGCCGCCCTCCCCGCCATTTCTTCGGCTTGGCTCTGAGCCCGCCTTTCGAGTCGGGTCCAAAGGAGCCGCCTTTCTCAATGGCAAGCAAGGGGCGCCCGTGTTGTCGCTCGCCAATGAGCGGAGCGAGTGGATGGCGGCGGGAAGGACGGGGCGAGAGTCTTGGGCGAGGCTCCCTTTCGAGGAGAGGGCGCCTCTGGGAGGCTGAGGAGCCCGGCGGGGAACGCCCGGGGAAGGGGAAGGCGAACGAGGCAGCCGGCAGGGTCCCCCAGAAGGAGGGAGAGGGACTGGAAAGGAGAGAGAAAGAGGAAAGGGGAGAGACAGGAAAAGGAAGTGAAGGGGGGAAAGGAAAAGAGAAAAGGAAGGGGACAGGGAGAGGAGAAAAAAGGGGAGAGGAAAGGAAAAGGGAGAGGGAGGGGGAAGGAAAAGAGAAGGAAAGACAAAAGGAAGGGAAATGAGAGAGAAAGGGAAAAGGAAGTGAAAAGGGAGAGGGAGGGGAAAGGCAGAGGAGAAGGAGAAGAGAAAGAAAGAGGAAAGGAAAGGGGAGGAGAAAAGGGGGAAGGAAAAGAGAAAGAAAAAGGAAAGGAGAGAGAAAGGAAAAACGAAGTGTAGAGGGAGGGGGRAGGAAAAGGAAGGGATAAGGGAGAGTGAAAGGCAAGGGAGAGGGGAGGAAGGGAAAAAGAAGGCGAACGAGAGGGAAAAGAGAAAAGGGGGAAAGGACGTGAAATGGGAGAGGGAGGGGAAAGAGAGAGAAGGGAAGGAAAAGAGAAATAAGGAGAAAAGGAAGGGAAAGGGGAGAGAGGGAAAAAGAGAAAAAAGGGAGAGAAAGGGATAAAGAAGTGAAAAGAGAAAGGGAGGGGAAAAGAAGACTGGGAAGGAGGGGGGGAGAAAGGAAAAAGGAGAGAAAGGGATAAGTGGAAAGGGAGAAAGAGAGAAAGGAAAGGAGAGAGAAGAGGAAGGGAAAGGGGTGAGAAAGGGAAAAGGAGAAAAAAGGGGGAGTGAAGGGGATAAGAAAGTGAAAAGCGGGAGGGGGAAGGGAGAGAGGGGGGAAGGAAAGGGGGGAGAAAGGAAAAAGGAGAGAAAGGGATACGTGGAAAGGGAGGAAGAAAGAAATGGAAGGGAAAGAGGAGAAGAAGAAGGAAAGGAAAAGAGAAAGAAAAGCGTGAGGAGAGCCACTCAAGCACACAACTTCTTCTTCCTCTTCCTGCCCCCCCCCCCTTTCTCTCTCTCTCGCGGGCGCGCCCTGTCTCTCACTCCCCGCCGGGCGCCTCCTTGGCCGTCCATTCATCGCGCGCCAAAAGCACCTCGCGCTCCCCCACCTCCGTTGCGCTCTGGGCGCCTCTTCCACGCTCCCGTCTTCCTCCTTCCCTCCCTCCCTCATCTCCAGCTTGGGCGCCCTTGTTCGGGCTGGCTTCTCTCTTCCTCCTCCTCCTCCTCCACCACCACCCAAGGACAAGCCCCCTCCCTCAGTTGCCTTGGGGAAGAGGCGCGCTCTTGCTTGCCTGCCTGCCTGCCTGCCTCTCTCCGTGTGCGTGTATGTGTGTGTGACAGGGGGCGCGCGCGCGTGTGAGTGAGTGAGTGAGCGTGTGTGTGTGTGTGTGTGTTGTCTGGGGTGGGACCGAAGCGCCGTGCTTAAGGCTCCCTCGCAGGGCGCTTTCCAGATGCTGCTTTCCCAGGCACTCGGTGGCAGCGGCGGCGAAGGCTCGCTCTTCTTCCGCCTCCGCCGCCATGGAGGCGCGGGCATGAGGAAGAAGGGCTAGCCCGGGAGCCGAGGAAGGAGGGCTCGCTTGTTGCTCGCCCGCCCGCCCGCCCGAAGGGTCTCCCATCCATCCATGTGCTGAGCGCGCGCTCCCTCCCTCGCGCCCTTTCCTCGCCATGCGCGCCCGCCTGGACTGAGCCGGAGCCGGGCGCTGTTGCTGTTGGCGGCGTTGTTGTTGTTGTTGTTGTTGTTTTTGGCGGGGGTCTCGTGCGCCGGGGAAGCGGGGCCATGGCTGCGGCCATCGCCAGCGGCTTGATCCGGCAGAAGCGCCAGGCGCGGGACTTGCAGCACTGGGACCGGCCCTCGGCCAGCAGGAGGCGCAACAGCCCCAGCAAGAACCGCGGGCTCTGCAACGGCAACCTGGTGGATATCTTCTCCAAGGTCCGCATCTTTGGCCTCAAGAAGAGGAGGTTGCGACGCCAAGGTGTGTGAGTGTGTGTGTGTGCGCGCGTGCCTCTGTCTGTCTCTCGTGTCTTCCTGTCTGCTCGCCAAGGTCGCGCCACAGGGCCACCATGCTGCCATGGCTCCAGCAATTTGGCCCTGGGAGTCTTTTCTAGTTTTTAGACCGTCTTCAGCCTTCTCTGCCAAAGAGTGCCATTCCCTCGCCACACTACAACTCCCATGCCTACCATCATGGTAGTTGCAGCTTTACTAAGTCTTGAGTGTGCCCCTGTCTCACCAAACCACAACTCCCATGATTCCATTGCATTGAGCCACAACAAATTTTAATTCTACCAGGAGGAACAGAAACCTACGACTTTCAAAAGCTTTCAAGGCTTTTCTGTTTACCTTCCACCTAAGATGGGGTGCAACCCATTTCCGAGTTGCTCTGACTAGTAGGGCATTCTTAGGCCCTCCAGTGTCACAGGAAAGGCAACAACAGAGACAACTTCAAGACCCGGTTGTGGGCCTGTGTCTTTGAGCCGCCCTTTCACAGGAAAGATGCATGTAGAAGGAATGCCATTTGACACCACTTGAACTGCCAAGGCTATGGCATCCCGAGAGTTTGTGTTTAACAATGTCTTTAGCGTTCTCTGGCAAAGAGTGCTGGGGTCTCACTACACTGGACCATCTATAATTGCATTGCATTTGAGTTCAAGTGGTGTCAAACTGCATCTGTTCTACAGTGCAGATACCCCTAGGAGGAACAAAGAAATCCAGTGCTTCTTGGTGCTTTCTAGGCTTTTATGTTTTTTGTTTGCATCTCGCCTTTCTCCTAAGATGGGATGCAAACGTTTGCTGAGCTGCTCTGACTATTTCACTGGGAGGAAGCTTGAGTCTGTTTCTGAGAGAACCAGCCTGAAGGAAATGCTTCCTTATATTCCTCCAAGGCACTCAAGCGAGGGTGCACCAACCATTGTAGAATTGGGTTGCTATGAGTTTTCCGGGCTGTATGGCCTTGTTCCAGATGCATTCTCTCCTGATGTTTTGTCCACATCTATGGCAGGTTGAAGGGATTGATGGAAATTAGGCAAGTCAGGTTTATATATCTGTGAAATGTCCAGGGCAAGTGTTGAGGCAAGTGTGAATGTTGTAAATGGCCACCGTGATTATCATTTAATGGCCTTGCAGCTTCAAAGCCTGGCTGCCTGCTGCCTGGGGGAATCATTGTAGAATCAATGCAGTTTGTCACCACTTGAACTGCCATGGCTCAATGCTGTGCAGTTCTGGGAGTTGTAGTTTTGAGAGATCTTTTCCAAGGAGGACTTGTGCTTCACGAAACTACAACCTCCAGGATTCCATTGCATTGACAATTCAAGTGGTGTCACATTGCATTCATTTTATGGTCTAGGTACACCCTCTGTTCAAAGCCATACAAACAAGCATTTGAGGTGGCAGAGTCCAGCTTTCATCCCCTTAGGAATTGGTCTGCAAAGCAGGATAATTAACTGGGGCTAAGCTGACCCAATGATCTTGAGGAGGAAAGCTCCCTGTGCACCATCTCACCCAGAAATCTCTTAGTTCTTATACCGGAAGAGAACTCACTATCTACAAAGCATCATATCCCAGGGCAACCCATGGAGTTGGTAGCAATGATAAGCATTCAAACACCATGAACCACAATCTAAGGCAGTATTTGAAATAACGGGAAGCTTCCTTTAAAAACAACAACAACACTTTACTCATAATACAAGTAGAGGTTTAAGGAGGTGACTGAAAGATGGATTTTCTGCCCCACCCTTTCAGTTCAGTTGTTAAGTATCCCAAAGTCAGCAGATCCTGCCTGATCTTGACAACTAGGCAGGGTTAGCTCTGGTTAGCACTTGGATAGGAGACTTCCAATAAACACCAGGCTCTATAGGCTATATTTCAGAGGAAGGAACTGGCAAAACCATATACAAGTGTTCCTTGCTTAAGAAAATCCTGGCCAAAATTCAGCAGCTGATGTAAAAGGCACACACACTTCCAGTTCACATTTATGTAGCAATTCTCTTCAGCTATAGTGATTGTCATTATGGAGCTGGAAACTGAGTTACTGCTTCAGATAAATTAATTCACGATACAGGGTTGTGATGCTGTTTATACATGGCCACTTTTGTTACTTTATTTCAGTTTGAGAAAAGAATACAAACATTTCAGCTGAACTGGGTGGGATTGCAATAGAGTGTAGGTGTAGCACAATAAATGACAAAATGTGTTCCACTTTCTGCTTCTTTGATTTTAATAACCCATCTTTGGGAAAAGAAGGTAAAAAAATCTGGGTGTCTCATGGAAATTTGAATAACTTTTTGATCTCATTTCTGGAAGCAAAGGATTGAATACACATTATAACAGCATAGGTGGAACCATTTGATATAGCAAAAAAAATGATTCACTTCATGACTTCATGTTGTTGTTGTTTTTTATTAAAGGTTGTTGCCAGTAATATTTAATAAATGTAAAGAAATCTCAGTTTGAAATTGTTCTTAAGAGCATAATCACATCTGCGGTGACTACTCATTGTAAGTGTAGTACCAGCAAAGCGGCATTTGTAGAGTATGGGAGAGAGTCTATGATGGCTATTGAATAAAGAAAATGGTTCTTTACCATGTAAATGAATTCAATTTTTTGAAAGGTACATGAACCCAGAGAATTATTGTGAAATTGAGAAAAAAAATCTGTAAACAGTCAAGGTTTCATGAAAAATGTTTTCCCATGAATAAATCATATAAAGGTATATATGGATACAATATCTTGAGGGAAGAATGAATGGTAACGTGCAGTGCATTCTGTCATTTGTACCGAACATTTCACATTTTTTAAATGGGTGACACCACATAAGATAATCATTTTGGAGTACTATTCATTTTGGAGTACTGTAGCTTTAAGAATGCACAGCTATTGAAGGGGAGAATCCTTGGGAGTGCATATATGGGGGAACCCCAATTCCCACAATACCTTGTTTCTACAAGCTTGTAGTTGGCTTACTTTAGAAATGTTGATGACAGTTATCTTCCCTTCCACTCTGCGATGCTCCAGACCCTTTGCAAGCCTCTCCACATTTGCTTTAATACCATCTCTTCAGTCTTCCATATCCAGACTTAGTTCTTTTTGCTTTTCTTTCCCTTTCTGTGAACGAGCTCTCCATCATTTTTAAAAATCTTTTAACTGCTTTCAACCTTCTGAAACCCTTACCTTCCCAGGAAAGACAGTTCAAATAATAGTAGTAGCGAGTGAAGGAGTCTTTACTATATTTGAACAAGCAGACAAATACAGATGCACCATGCGTTTCTGCATTTATGTCTCTCTCGGCCTCTGTTTCTCCTTGCTTAACATGTTCTGGGGGTGGGGGATGCTTGTTCATATATACCCAGCCCCAGATGGATTTGATCAAAACACAAACACACCATAAAATCAGTATGATGGGAAAACTGCTCTTTCTCTTGGCTCTGGGAATTTCCTACTTTGGTAGGAAATGTGTTTTGTTTGCTTTTTGGTGTATTTACTGTGGCAAAATTATCATGTTTCCTGTCACAACTCAGTTCCCCCTTTCCCCAAAATTATGTCTTCTCTAAGGTTTAATTTGTGACAAACTTGTAATTGTGTAGATAATATTAACATCTCTGTGTGTAAAACAATATCAATTCACAAAATGTTCCAGAGACTATAATGAAATGCTTTGCTCCTTTGAAAAAGATTGTTATAGTATCTCAAGGATGCAAATTACACATAGTGGAGGGATTGATTAATGGAATTGTAAACTTAGACACCTTTAAGTTATGACTCAGAAGCAAAACAGGTAAAAACTGAGATGAAAAGGGCAAGTAAGAAATGGCATACTAAATGAATGGATGACAGCAGTGACTACTGATTGTCAAGGTATACTAGTGAGATTGATCCCACCAGATTATTTTGTAAATCAGTCAACACAGAGAAGGCTATAGTTGCTAAAAGCCATATTCATCTGAAGGCAACCTCCGTGAAGCAACATGAATGGTTCCATTTTGATTCCTGTTGTGCTTAGTTTTACACATGCCAGAGTCATTTTGTGACTCCAGTCGTGTTGTATCACTGTAGTTTTTTTTTACTAAAAGGATGAGGCATTTCTCTTTTTATTATTTTAAAAGAACCCTTAAATTATTTTATGACATCTCTTTAAGTAATTATGGCTCTTTTTGGAAAGCTCTCTAAAGCTGCTACCTCGATGAAAATAATAGAGATATGTATATTTTTTCCTATTGGTGTTTTAAACTGGTTTGAATACATGCAGGAAACACCCAAACAACAATAATAACAACAGCAACAACATTATCAAAGCATGTCTATTGAACTTGTAACCAAGCAATTAAGTATGTAAGGTATCTATCCACACTTATTTTGAGTTATTAGTCCATGAAAAATGAATTGTATTTGATAAACATATTAAATAAATTATATTTGAAGACAATGAATTATTTTAAAACTTGCTATCTTGTAATAGTCTGGAATTGAAGGATCAAGATTGCTGTGCATACAGTAATAGCTTTAAATAAGTGATATGCATAGACTGTTAAGAGGGAAAAAAATCCAACAAGTGGGAAACAATAATTGAGCTTCATTCGCCATCAGAAAGCAACTTTGACTCATAGGTTACAATTCTAGCAAATGTAGGTGAAGATGCAGGCATTCATTCTAGCATGATATACTTTCTTCGAAGTATATTCCCCTTTATAAAGCCTCCTGCGTCAAATAATGTTTGCATAATATCTTCATAGAATATTCAAAAGTTGTGCTGCTTTTTTATAATAGTTATTTGTTATTCTTAACATTTTAATGATAAGTAATGAATACCTCTAAAGTGTGAGATCATAAAATCTCACACTTTAGAAGTCTGTATTTATGATAAATTTATTTAAAATGTGTTCCCCTAAGCATGACTAAATATAGATCTGCTTTGAGCTTTCTCACATTGTATCCAGGGAGGTTTCTGAAACTTAATTTGATGGCATTAAGTTGTAATGGTTA